TATCACCATTCCAAAGTTCGATGCAAGTTTTGATGAAGACCTCTGAACCAGTCTTTACACCGTCTCTTTCAACATTGTGTCTATTTTTTTCAAAATCGGTACGGGTTTAGGGCACTTTATTTCTGGCTCTTCTAATATTTTTCTCCCAAAATCAATCTTGTGTACGTTTCCGTTTAAAAGAAATCAAGAATTTATAACATCCTGCGTTTAGAATAGAAAAAAAATGAAAGTTATAAAATGAATAATGATAATGAAATGTGGCTGTTTACGCAATAGTATTTGAAATTTAGTAAACTGGACTGCGACTGGAAAATCGCGCAAACAAATAGAAATAGAAATGAAAATGATACCATAGGGTTGTCGAAACACACAAAAGATATTTCCACTCACCTGGGTTTTTTCTTATAAGCTGTGTGTATAGGTATCAGCATCGACTTAAGGCACTCAAGATCCGTTTTTAATGGCACAAGACATAGACTTTTCGAGCTTAAAAAACACGGAACCGAAAAAAATTGCAACGTGCATATGAAGCACCATTTATTTAGTGTGTAAATCCAAATGTTCAACGGCTGTCTCGGTCGGCGCAGGATCGTAGAAAATACACTCCTGTGTGTTTTACGCGAAATTGACATTTAAGTAATTCTTTAATAAGAATGAGAAGAAACCAAATTTATAAATAATGTTGCGTTAACAGTGGCAGAGATTTAATAATAAGAAAAACTAAAACTAAACTATCAGGTCAGACCAGGGGTACACTTTTATTGCTGCCTGAATTCTTTTAAACCCCCTGCTATGGTACGCTCGGCCAGCCATACCGTCTGTAGCCACCAGAATCAATTAACATCAAGTTGGAAGTGAACTGGCAAAGAAAGCTGCTGCCTTGTAGCTGGATGTTGAATCATCAAAGGCTAGAGGAAGACAACCTTGATCACAAATTACCTGGTCCTCCTGGTAGGGGGTTGAGGCATCGGGCTAACTCCCCGTTACTCGGAAAAAAAATTAAACTGTTAAAAGACCTAATCAACAGCCTCGGAACAGGACTGAAAAACGAAGACGAACTAGGCAACGGAAACGGACAATGAGTATCGATACATGGAACGTCCAAGGAATCTCTAGAAAATTGAATGAAGTGATATCAGAGATAAAATATCAAAAAATGGATCTGCTTGTCGCCACAGAGACCAAAAAGAAAGGACAGGGCTCAGAAAATCTGGGAGAGTACGATCATTTCTTTAGCGGGGTTCAAAAAGAACTCAGAGCGAAGAAAGGAGTCTCGATCTTCATACATAGAAAATGGAGAAAACATATAACATCATGGGAAGCAGTAAACGAAACCATAATAAAACTAAATGTATGTATGTTCGGAAGGAAAATAACAATCTTGGGAATATATGGAGTGAACGACGACGAACCCGTTAATATAAAGGATCAATTTTACCAACAACTCAGTGACCAAATCATAAAAGTAGGAACTTCAAGGGAAATAATTTTGCTGGGAAACTTTAACGGACGAACAGGACGAAAAATCAACGACAAGGTGAGAGAATGTAACGAATAACAATGGAGAAAGGCTCATAGAAATATGCCAACAAAATAACCTAAAAATCCTAAACGGTTACTTTCAGCATAAAGAAATACATAGGTACACATGGAAAAATGAAACTAGACAACAAAAATCTATTATTGACTACACTATCGCTAAACAGAGCTCGAACATAAAATTCCAGGACGTGAGAGCATATAGGGGAGCGACCTGTGGTAGCGATCATTACCTCCTAAAAACAAAAATCTTTATCCCGGGCAGAAACATCGCAAAAGAAAACGGAATGAAAACCCAAGAAGACAATATTGTGCCTGAGAAATACAACCTAAAATCTCTAGAAGAGCAAAGCGTAAAAGGGTTGTACATGAAGAGATTAGATCAAAAATTACAGAGTAGTATGAGCTTCCAAAACCTTGAAATGCATTACCAACATATCAAAGACAGTATTCACAGTGCAGCATTTGAAGCCCTTGGCAAATATGAAAAAAAGGGAAGTAGGCCCACACCTTATTGGTGGGATCAAGAAATAGAAAAAGACATAGAAGATAAAAGGAAGAAATACCAACAGTATCTAAGTTCAAATAAGACACGAGACAAAGAAATATATAAAGAAGCACAAGCAAGAGTACGGAATAAAATTGTACACAAAAAGAACGAGTCATGGGAAAGAAACTGTGCGCATATTAATACTTATCTGCCCAAGTAGCACATAATATTGGGTAAACATCGTTTTTCAGTTGGGCCAATATTTATTCATTTTTGTTGCTAAATCAACACAGTACCAATATTGGGGCAACGTTAGTTTTACCTATGTGGAAACAATATTTAAAAATAATCTTGTACCAATATTGTTTTCATTGATTAATTAACTTTTCAATAATTTGAATATTGGCCCAAGACTTCTCACTACAATATTGATTTATGAAATATTGGCCAAATATTACATTTTATATTATCGAAACAATATTGTAATATAATATTAATTCAATATTGGCATTCAATTTTTTATTGATATTTAAATTCACTTCAAAAACTTTGTACACCCAATATTTATTTTCAATTTTTTCACAATATTGATACTTTTTGAAAAGCCCAATGAAGGGCCAATATTTACATACTAATTTTTACCAAGGTTGGATTTTCTGAATTGAAAATGTTGGTCCAATATAGGGTATACAATGTGCGCACTTGGTGTGCCGACCAACTAATAGATGGAGACTCTATCTTCACTTTACCTGTCTTAAACTTATTTCCGAAATGAAGCCAAAAATTGGTTGTTTTCTCTCTGCGGGACCCTGGCGTGACTTAACCGTGCTGATGAGTTGTGATACAGCGAAACGGGTCCACGGATGGTCCGGCAGAGAGAAAACACTTCTCAGTCGGTCCTTATAATTGGTCTGTTACCTTATTTAAATCTAATATAAAGCCAAGATTTACATCCGTCTTCGGGCCAATATTGGTAATTTCAATTGGCTCTATATTGCATAAAGTTCTTGATATGATATTGATTATTTCTTTTTGGGCCAACATTTGGTTACGTTATTGTACCAACGTTGGTATTTGTTTTTGGGTACATATTGACATACGTTCTTGGACAAATATTGCAGAAGGTCCACATCTTTTATTGGGCCAACATAGAGAATCTGACTTGGGCCAATAAATCGTAGTTATTGTCCCAATATTGGCCCAACATGGGAGTGCTGCTTGGGTGGGGGGTAAAAGAAACACAGAAAGTTGGAGATTACTCAAAAACATGAGAAAAACAAAAACTAAGGATATTATCAATACAATAACACCCCAGCAATGGGAAGAGTACTTTGAAGAATTACTGACAGAACAGCGGGCAGAGTTTAAAGAAGAGAGGGAACAGACACGAAACATAAAAACTGCAGGATCACCAATACGAGTTATGCAAGAAGAAGTTAAAAAACACTGCGGCTTCTTGAAAAATGGTAGGGCACCAGGCCCAGGAGAAATATATGGAGAACTGATAAAGTGTGGGACCAATAAACTCTACAAACATTTAACAAAACTATTTCAAACATGCATAGATAAACAAGAAGTACCGGAAGAGTGGAAAGTAAGCTATTTAACAACGATATATAAGAAAGGAGACAGAAACAAATGCGGGAACCACCGAGGAATTGCAGTAACAAATACGCTGAGCAGAGTGTATGGAAAACTCATAAAAGCCAGAATAGAGAACGAGTATAAAGATAGTGAGGTAGAAGAACAGGCCGGTTTTAGAGCAGGAAGATCAACTGTAGACCATTTATTCAGTTTGACCCAGGTAATGGAAAAGAAACTAGCCTATAACCAAGAACTCCATTTACTTTTTGTCGATCTAAAGAAAGCATACGACAATGTTCCGCTGAAAAGCTTTGGGAAGCACTGGAAAAGACCAATATCAACTTAGAACTAATAAAGGCAGTAAAAACGCTCTATAGTGATGCAAAGACCAAGATTAAACAGGGAAACTCAATCAGTAAAGGCTTTATAGCAACTAAAGGACTTAAACAGGGATGCTGCATATCACCAACACTTTTTAAAATATACTTAGAACAAGCGCTCAAAGGGTGGAAAAACAAATGCAGACACATGGGAATACCGCTCAATGAATACAATCTTTATACTTTAAGCTTTGCAGATGATCAAGTATTAATTGCACAGGACTATGATGACCTAGAGTACATGACACGAAAATTGATAGAGGAATACGAGAAATGGGGTTTGGAAGTAAATTTAACGAAAACAGAATATATGACTATAGGAGGTGAACAACGAAATCTGAAATTGAATAACGGACAAGAAATAAAACAATGTTCTGAATACAAATATTTGGGCATGAAAATCTCACACGAGGGAACCCTAGACGAAGCAATTAAAGATAGGAATATACAAGGACGCAAGGCAATATCCCTACTAAATGGTGTACTGTGGGATCAAAATATCAACAAAACTAACAAAACGAGAATATACAACACCATAGTCAAAAGCATAGTCACGTATAGTTCAGAAGTCTGGCCACTAAAGATCAGAACCGCAAAAATGCTGGAAGCAACTGAAATGGACTTTTGGAGGAGATCGGCAGGCAGGTCAAAAATGGAGAGGATAACAAATCTGAGAATTAGGGAGATTATGGACGTAAAACACACAATAATAGATGATAAAAAGGACAAACAGCTGATTTGGTTCGGACATGTACAAAGAATGGCAGATACAAGAATACCCAAGCAAATAATCGAGTGGAAGCCAGGGGGAAGAAGAAGACGCGGCAGACCAAGAAGAAGCTGGAGAAGTGGTGTAGACGAGGAAATGAAGGACAGAGGCCTAGAAGAGGATGCCTGGATTGACAGAGATGGTTGGAGATCGGGAATCGGAAGACGTAGAACGTTATAAACCGATAATTATATATATAAAAACTAAAACTAAAGTATAATTCTTTAATATTTTTTTTTTCAACAAATAAAATAAAAGTATAATACGTCACAGTTTTTAGTTGGTAATAATTATTCTTAAATTAATAGACTAAACTAATTTTCAATATTAAAACAAAAACAATGAAAATTTAAACAAAATAATACTAATTTTTATTATTAATTATTATTTATAAAACAAATTATATCTCCTAGGGACTAAAAGAAAAATAGCACAATAATTTTTTGTTTTATATAATAATTTTTTATTTTTGACCAGTACCAACTTAAATCTAGTAAGGCACACGTAAAAAGATTTTTAATATTTAAAAAAAAAATACCTATAAAGGGCGAGATACATAACCAGAAGAGAAAAAGAAAAAATATAAATACAAATTAAGCACAAATATGTTAGATCTAAAAATACTTGGATCATATATATCATTCATCTTAAAAAAATAAGCTGGTTTTGTACCTCTTTGACCTGTTATTGCCCAAGCAATGGACATAATATCTTAAAAATTTATGATAACAAATATCAGTTAAGTACCTACTGCTTTTCTTAAAAAGTTTGAGTTTAATCTATTCAGTATTTACAATTTAGAAATGACAACATTGCAATTTTGAGCTGATTTGAATCAAATAATGTTGAAAAATGATGCATACTCAAGAACTAGAAGACAAAACTTGAATAGGACGGATAAAACACATTAAACAAAAATACCAAAGAGTTAAAGATCCAAATCATAGATATAAATAATTGTCATTCCCAAAATGCATTTTATGAAGCACCTCTTTCTTTTAGGTACTACTTTGAGCATTTTTTTTACATTAGAATCTATTTGTATTTTTAACTAATTCAATTAATTCGAATCATTTTTCCTTGCCAACTGCAACATTGGTCACGTTACTATTAGGATTGAATACCCATTGCTTGAAACTGCTTTCCACACCTCCATTAGAAGTTTCATCTGTTTTTCTTGGTGGTATCGGAGGTCGGCTACTCAAAGTTGGTAGACCCGAAGGGATTTTTGAGTTTTGCCTTATAGACGTAACCGATACATTTTTCGTACTAGTTATTGTGCTTGGTGGTTTAATTTTGGACGGTGGCGAGGACATCAGTTCCAAAATGGCTTTGTCGTTTTCGTTGTCCAGATTTCTGGAATCGCGTCGTTCTGGGCTCATCGGAGGCGTTTTCATTGTGGTGGAAATGGGGATGCGTGATTTTGGTGGTGTAGAACCGGTGCTTTCTCTTCTCGGAGGGCTTTTGTCGGATTTTTCGAAGTTTGATCTTAGTAGTTCAAAGGAGTGTCTTTTTTCAGGAGTTTTTCTGCCGGCATTAGAGCTTTCGTAACTTGAAGTGGAAAACTTCATTTCGGGTAAGGTTTTCAATTGTTCTTCGGCGATTTCTTGTATTTTGCTTACTTGTTTTTCAATGTCGATTTTTTCATTTGAAACGGCACCTGCTTGAGGCTCTTCTCTTATAACTATAAATTCTTCCAAGTTATTTTCAAAGTTTTGCATATTACTTTCAAAAGTTTCTAGTTTTTTTTCAAAATTTTTTACATAGTTTTCAAAAGCATCTTCCAAATGATCTTCACTTTTGATTTCGATTTCAGATACATTTGTCGTTGTAGTGGGGCTAGGTAGCACCTGAATTTCAGTAACATAAGTTTTTTTATCATCTGAAATTTCTTCAGCAGTTATCAATGATATTGCTGGACTTTCATCGTCAATACTCTTAAATATCTCATCGTCAACTTCAACAGTTGTAATCTCTACTTCATTTGCCTCAGGTGTTTTAGTGACTTTAGAAAAACAACTTTCTGTAATTTCAACTAAAGGCTCTTTTGCAGTGATTATATTTGGTTGTGACATGATCAATGTGACTTCATTGTCAACAACTGTTTTATACAATTCATTTGGTTCACTGTTAATGCTCAATTCTAAACTATGCAAGTTTGAGGCTCCATTTTCAGTAACCGTGACGTGACTTATTAATGAATCATCGCTTTTTGAATCATCACTTGTCGATACAGTCACTTCTTGGTTAAAATTAGGAATGTGTCTTTTGGGTTCAACAATTTCAAGTTCTTGGGATTTTGGTTTGAGTTTAACTTTTTCAAATTTCAATTGATTATCAGATTCAAGAGCAATAATTGAATTTAATGTAGAAATTTGAATATCAGATTTCTGACTGGGATTAGTTTCGTCAAATAGATCATTTTTTGAAGTGTGCTTTACTTCAATAACATCTTCAGATTTTGGAATTTGATGTAAATTTACTTTCTCAATTATTGAGCTTGTAGAAACTTTAACATCATCCTCAGATGTTGAAGCGAGTTCAAATTTACTTAAGGAATAAGCCTGTACATCATCATTAGGTTTTGAAGCAACCTCTACTTTCTCAAACATATTCTTGTCGTTAGATTGTGAAGTAACCTTTACATCATCAACAGAATCAACTTTTTTAGGATCAACAGCTCCAAATGAGCTTTTAGCAACCTTTACATCATCGTCAAATTTTTTCGCTTCAAAGCTCTCAGATGAGTTCCTTGAAACCTTAACATCATCAGGTATATTCGTTTCACTTTGATGCGCACTCCTTTCGTTAAAAATAAAATCATCAATAACATTTTTCATGTTTTTGCTTTCGTCATCTGCGCCAAAATTTCTATTATAACTGTCCATTACTTCATCGACTAAAGTCATTGATTGCGGGGGTGAAGTGTTAGTTAAAGTATCCACTTCCCATTCGTCTTTGATCATTTCAGAATTTTTCCCTTTGGCTAATTGAGAACACAATTCCGTAATGTTGTTTTTCTCGAACGCAGTCACCAATGATACTTTGCACAAAGTGTGATTCAAATTGATTTCAGTTGAACATCTGTCAGCAGGCAATTCACGTTTTGGTGGTACTGGTTTAGCAACTTCGTTATTGTTTTTCGAAACTCTTTCTGTTGGTTGAGGTTTGAGCCTTTCTGGTACAACTGGTTGCCTTCTGATAGGTTCAGTATCGATTTCCAAACTTGTCTTATTGGCAGAATTAAGTTCACTTTCATCAGGCCAGAGTTTGTTGTAAACTTTAGGCCCATTTGTTGCTTGATAACTTTTCACAATTTCATCAGGTATAATTTCTTCGCGTTTAATTTTCAATGCTCGATCCATGACGGCGGTTAATTGTGGATCACTTTTGCGTTCGTCGTTTAAGTTTAAGATGGCATCTTCCAAGTTGCCCCATTCAGTTGAAGTTTTTAGCCTGGTTCTTTGAAAGGTTGTTAAGCCATCTAAAATTAATGATAGTCTTGGTTCTTTGTCTATGAGTAAATTCTCAGTGGCGTCGTAAGTTGATTTTTTAGTTAAACCGTGTCCAGTAGTGTCGGTTATGTCTAAGCTTTGAGCTCTTTCTAAGGTGCCATTATTAGATCTTGGTTGTTTTTTCATTTTGGTTAAATCGCCAGTGCTTGCAGTTTTTCTGGATTTACGTTCTTCTTCCTGGATTTGGTGTATAGTAATATCGCTGGAATTTAGTTCGATGGTATTCACCGATGACATGTTGTTGGTGTCGTCTTCAGAATCTGTACCCAAAGCACTCAGATCTTCAAATGCTCTAATTTTGCTGCCTCCCAGTGAAAAATTAATCGGTGGAGGTGAAGGGGCTTTTGGTTTGTGTTTTTTATTAGAATCTTCACCGAGGCCATTTTCAATGGAACTTTTTCGGTTTCTTCTCGCTGCCAAAGCAGCATCTTGCATGTGATTTGGAATTTCTAATGGTATTCCGTTGGAATCGCGTTTTATGCCAGAATTATTGCGTTCAAATGCTGGTTCTGGACTCTTTTTTTCTCTTTTCCTGGCTTGTGGTGGTTTTAAGTCAACTTCATCGATGCCTCTAATGGGGACTTCTTCCATGTTGTAATGCCTTTCTATGTTCGAGTTGTTTTGGTTTTGTTCGACGATTTTGGGGCTTTTTTGATGGTGTTCCAAGGGAAGCACTCTTACCCCGAATTTTTGGTAGTTTTGGGTTTCTTCGGGGGTCAGTTTTTGTGGGGATTTGCTTTTGGGTTTCATCGGTGGCCTGGGAGATTTGGATTCTTTGCGTTCCAGTGTTGTAACGTTACTGCGCGATTTTTGTAAGCTGGAATAGTTGGAGCTGGACGAATAGTCGTCGCCGAATAGTTTCTTTTTCGAAGATTTCTCAGGCTAGAATTTTGAGATTGAAAATAATTCAAAAAAACGAAAGTATATCTACTTACAATAAGGCTCAAATCTATTGCACTGCACGTTCTGTAAATAGGATGTATAGGTGTTTGTCCTTGGCCTTGTTGAAATGATATAGTTCTGCCACTTTTGGCTTCTAGAATCACCTCGTAAGGACTGGCGTAGCTCAGAATATTCATGGCATCTTCGTACACCATGTGCTCAAAGCTTATTGTTAAGCTGTTGATACGATCACCTGTAAAAAGAAGAATAATTGATTAGAGTGTATTTATAGAAAAAAAAAACACAAGGAAGGTTGAAGAGGAAGTAAGAATTTTTCTAGAAGCAAAATCTATAGGATTCAAGAACCTACTAAAAAAGCTATGTTATATGGATTTCACGACTACATTGTCCTCAAGATGCGTCTCATCATCACGGTGGTACAAAGTATCGCAAAGTCTAGACGCTACTTCAGCAAATTATCCTGTCTGAACATGTCATGCCAAGAACCGCTCCATCATCGCAACGATCAACGATCCCATAGAAACAACAAGATCAACATGTTTTAAAATATAAAAGATCCTGTCAATATTTTACCATCCTTGACCTGGCTATTACGAATTCGTTCGTATGCCCTTTGGATTGAAAAATGCCCCGTCCACATTCCAAAGAGTCATGGACAATATTCTCCTCGGCATTCAAAACGAAAGATGCTTAGTTTACATAGACGATATTATCGTTTACTCTCCTACTATCCACGAACATATTTCAAGGCTTACCGAAGTATTTAAACGCCTCTGTAAAGCTAACTTAAAAATTCAGCCGGACAAATGTGAGTTTCTTCGAAAAGAAGTAACTTACCTGGGATACCTTATCACTCAAGAGGGTGTAAAACCAAACCCTGCAAAAATTAGTTGTATTCAGAACTTCCCAACACCCAAATATCCAAAAGACATCAAATCCTTTCTAGGATTAGCAGGATCGACGATAATCGATTTATTCCCAATTTTGCTAAAACATCAAAGCCCTTAACAAAACTCTTCCAGAAAGATGTTCCATTTCACTTTAACCCAGAATGCGTATCCGCATTCAACGAATTGAAAAACGCACTAGTTTCTGACCTGATTCTAATCTATCCCAATTTCGAACAGACATTTCTATTAACCACCGACGGAAGTGCTTTTGCCATCGGTGCAGTTTTGCAGTGGCGGCTCCCCAAGTAGCACATAATATTGGGTAAACATCGTTTTTCAGTTGGGCCAATATTTATTCATTTTTGTTGCTAAATCAACACAGTACCAATATTGAGGCAACGTTAGTTTTACCTATGTGGAAACAATATTTAAAAATAATCTTGTACCAATATTGTTTTCATAGATTAATTATCTTTTCAATAATTTGAATATTGGCCCAAGACTTCTCACTACAATATTGATTTATGAAATATTGGCCAAATATTACATTTTATATTATCGAAACAATATTGTAATATACTATTAATTCAATATTGGCATTCAATTTTTTATTGATATTTAAATCCACTTCAAAAACTTTGTACACCCAATATTTATTTTCAATTTTTTCACAATATTGATACTTTTTGAAAAGCCCAATGAAGGGCCAATATTTACATACTAATTTTTACCAAGGTTAGATTTTCTGAATTGAAAATATTGGTCCAATATTGGGTATACAATGTGCGCACTTGGTGTGCCGACCAACTAATAGATGGAGACTCTATCTTCACTTTACCTGTCTTAAACTTGGTTCCGGAATGAAGCCAAAAATTGGTTGTTTTCTCTCTGCGGGACCCTGGCCGGACTTAACCGTGCTGATGAGTTGTGATACAGCGAAACAGGTCCACGGATGGTCCGGCAGAGAGAAAACACTACTCAGTCGGTCCTTATAATTGGTCCGTTACCTTATTTAAATATAATATAAAGCCAAGATTTACATACGTCTTCGGGCCAATATTGGTAATTTCAATTGACTCTATATTGCATAAAGTTCTTGATATGATATTGATTATTTCTTTTTGGGCCAACATTTGGTTACGTTATTGTACCAACGTTGGTATTTGTTTTTGGGTACATATTGACATACGTTCTTGGACAAATATTGCAGAATGTCCACATCTTTTATTGGGCCAACATAGAGAATCTGACTTGGGCCAATAAATCGTAGTTATTGTCCCAATATTGGCCCAACATGGGAGTGCTGCTTGGGTCGTGACTATTTCAAGTGAGGAGGCTAGAAAATAATGAATAACGGTAAGGTAACCACTGCGCAGCAAGCAAAATTTGTTTTGGGGTGCCCGTGCCCTCAATAATTTATCTCAAATTCAATCAAAACCATGAATACTCGAGAAAATGTTCCTTTTCCTCATGTAAGTACTCCGGCCCTTCGGGCTTGTATAACCTCGGGCCTTCGGGCTCATGATTAAAATAACTTTGGCCTGTCGGGCTCGTATAGCTCCGGCCCTCCGGGTTCGCATGACTCCGGCCCTTCGGACTCGTATAACCTCGGCCCTTTGAGCTCATAATTGGGATAACCTCAGCCTTCCAGAATCGAGATTTGAAAAAAAACATATGGCAACACTGCTTATAATACAACAAATGTCAAAAAATTGGCCGGTCCCCTGTTTGGCTACTTCCTACGTATTCGCCGAAGCTAAATATATATGTCCATGGGTGCGTTCAAGAACGGCAATGCTAAAGCCAAAACCTATTTTTCCCCCTCTACCGCCCTCTACCGGTAATGCCGAACCACGTAGGTTGGAGCCGAACTCGAACGCAAAATACCAATTTTGGCTTGGCTGTAACCATTCCTGAACGCAGCCCTGGTGTTTTTTTTTAAATTTTGACAACTGTCAATGTCAAAAATTTTTACCTTTTCTTTTTTTCAAAAAACAAATATCAGAAAACGATCCCCAGGATCGATATATGCCAAAAACCAACGGCCTGGCAACGCCGAACGTCTTTTTTGACATATGGTAAAAAAATTTTGGTAGGTACTTCTTACGTATTCGCCGAAGCTAAATCTATATGCCCATGTGGGTTTTCTTAAATTTTGACAGCTGTCAATCTCAAAAAAAAAATTCTTTTGTTTTTTCCAAAAAACAAAATTTAAAAAACAAGTCGTTTTTTAGTGGGTTTTAGGGTGAGAATTATGTAGCAACATGTAGCAACACTTATATGAAAATTTAATGAATTCATTTGTACCAACAGTTGGTACAAAAAATTCAATTTCCCGTCGGGTTTGGAATTCGAATTTTTGAATTTTCCCTGCTCCTGATTGGTTTGGAGATTCGAATTTTGATTATTCCCGGCTCTTGATTGGCTTTAAATTTTGAATATTCCCGGCTCTTGATTGGGTTTAAAATAATCTCGGCCCTTCGAGTTCGAGATTTGAAAAAAACATATGGCAACACTGCTCATGATACAACAAACGTCAAAAAATTGAAATTTCAAAGTTGACTTTAGTATTTTTGACAATCGATACAAAATAAGGTCTTTTTGTTTCAAAGATTACGGCCCGAAGGGCCGGAGTATTAAAATCAGTTGACAATGAACGAGTTCGTTCGGATAAAATTTTTGTCAATATCGACAGATGTCACCTGTCAAATTTGACACGTGTTCGATTTTTTCCCCGCTCTACTATAAAAGCTACGAAAATCAAACCCTGGTACATGGCAGTTTCAAGACGCCAACTATCGATTTGTGTCAAAATAATTTGACAGCTGTCAACGTCAAAAAAGTTTTTTTTTTTTTATTTTGCGAATTTCGAAAAAAAAAGTGGTGGAAAACGATCCCCGGACCCAAAAAAACTCTAAACAAAAATTTCAAAAAAAAAAAAACAACGAAAATGACATTCCAAAACCTACTTGATAAAACTAAAGTTTTTCTCACTTACCCCGTTGAAAAACTGGAAATTTTTGGTGGAAAATGAAGAAAACTCAAAGCCTACTTTAAACCTTTACTTCACTTTAAATCAGTTTTCCCGACTAAAAAAGCCCCGGAAAAGTGAAAAATTCGAAGAAAAACTGAATAAAAATGTGAACACGTCAATTGAAAATGGCCGACTGTCAAAAATGCTTCCTTGATTGAAGTTAGCCAGGATGTTGCCACATCAAAAGCATTTTGAATGGGATTTTGCTAATTATGGCATTTGAAACTAGAAATTTTCACTAAAAAATGAAGAAAACTCAAAACTTCGTATGTTAAATCGCTTTTTTCCATTAAAAAACCCCGGAAAAGTCGGAAGTTTGAGAAAAAACTGGCAAAAAATCACAGGACGTCACTTCAAAATGGCCAACTAAAAGCACCGTTGCCACATCTCATTTCGGAAAACAAAAATAACATTTTAAAGGGGTTTTTTGTTTAAAATTCAATTTAATAATTAATTAATAATGACTACGTTTATTTCACATGTTCTATCCGGATACTAAGTGGATTGGTTTAATAATGGAGATTAATAATCCTGAAATAAACACCCAGGATTAAACGGTTTATCCGGATCGGATACTTAATCCAATCCTCCAAATTTGTAGGATTGGACTTAAAATGGATTATCTCAAATGTGAAATAAACTCTCCAAATCTCGGATTTATGAAGTTTGTTGCTAACTTCAAGAAAAAAAGACCTAAACCTAATGAAAAGTGTATCAGCTGATTGCCTTTAATGAAGTTAGACACAATGCAATTTGGGCTTGCGCTTTTGACAAGGCTTAAGAAAGGATCCGCACTAATCTTAATCCATTTGATAGTCGTGAAATAAACGAATATGGATTGATAATCCTTAATCCACTTATTATCCGGATACAACGCATGAAATAAACGTAGTCAATGATTATAATAATTAAAATTCCCCAAATAAATCATAGGAAACTTGTTTTTAGTTTAATTTCAATGAAAATGACATTATAAGGTTTACTTATTGATTATAGTGAGAAAGACAAAGACAACGATAAAGTAGTATATGTTTGCAAAAACTACCGTTTTCTGAAAAAAGTAAAAATCTTGAAAAAACCCTATAGAAAACCAACATTCCAAAGTCAATTTGATAAGACTAAACTTTTCGAATATTCCCAGCTCTCTGATTGGACGCTAAAAATCGCATTTTAAATACTACCGGTTTTTAATTGGCTTCCAATTATCCGCTGACCAATAGAATTATACACTGAGCCTCGTGATTAAAATAACTCTGGCCCTTCGGGCTCACGTATAACTCCGGCCCTTCGGGCTCGTGTATAACTCCGGCGTTTCCGGCCCTTCGGGCTCGTATTACTGAGTATCCCAGATTCATAGATTTTTGTCGTGGAGGCGCGGGATTGATTGCTGAAACTAAATACTCTACCATAGAGAGAGAATTACTGGCCATTGTATAGACAGTTAAACATTTTAGACCTTACCTCTTTGGTCGAAAATTTGTCCTTATCACAGACCATCACCGTTTAACTTGACTTTTCTCAATTCAAAACCCTGAAAGTCGTTTAGCTCGCTGGCGCTTGAAACTCGAAAAATACGACTATCGAATCGAGTATAAACCTGGAAAAATCAATAAGAACGCTGATGCCCTATCTCGAATAAAAGTAAACCACTTTAAATAAGATTGTTCAAATTTAAGCTCCAAAATTCACGTACTCGCTTCAGTCGCTTCTAACAAAGAAGAACCTGATATTGACGATATAGGAAACCGCCCCTCTACAAGTCAACAACAACAAGAAATTCCAATCGTTGAAATTGAAAATCATGACGAAATAACCCTAACTGAGGAAGAATACAACTCCTTCGTAAATCTCTACAAAACCAGATCAATTATCCAACATTACGGTACACCTTTGAGAATGCACTATGATTGTGGAGGTGAATTCAACAACACCTTACTCAAAGACCTTCGTCAACTCTACGACATAAAATTGACATTTTCAAGCGTAAGCGACCCACAATCCAACGGTCCGCTGGAAAGATTCCATGCAACTTTAATGGAGATGAATCGCATTTATAAAGCGGAACATCCAGATGAACACCCATTTAATATTCTCCCGTAGGTACGCAGTTATCTATATGTATTTTTTTGAGATTGTTAGTATTTGTATTATAATTTTTAATTTCTTATAATTTCCAGAAGTGGTTTCTAATTATACTTATACCAAAAGAAAATCAACTAGACCATAAGAGCTACAAGGACAAATTTTTAAAGGTTGTAGAACCAAGCAACATTAATTGGATTGGATCAACAAGGCACATTTTTCCAAATACTAACCTGGATTAAGTTTGCCAGATTCAAAGGCAGGTCCCCGATGTAAAATATCCTTAATAAAAATCCCCTCTTTCATGTTACCGCATATGTTGAAACCCAACCCGGTAAAATCTTGACTTTTCAGCGCTACCACTTTGACTTCGTGGTTTTGCAAAGCGCTATCGTCTAAAGCTCGTTTCTTTTCGGGTTTCAGATTGAGGGCTGTTAAAGGCGACCAGTGAGTCCACTTGTTCGTTTTGTTGTCGGGTTTTTTTTCGGATGTCGCTACGATGATCGAGGTGTCTTTGAAACCTGGATTGTCGAAGGCGTATTCGGCTTTTGGTCCTCGTTCTGGATCTGTTTCCAATATCAAATGATTATCTGCAAATGAAAAGCAAATATTGTAATAAATACATTTCAATAATAAATACCTATACATGTAGAAGAATGTTATATATTATGCGTTTAATCGGTTTCACAATCAATGCCAATAAACGAGACCAATTACAACCCTGATTTTCCACCTATAAACATACATTAGAAATATCTGTGTTGGTCATTAAACTCTTTATTTCTCGTTTTACACACCAAGTCTGAGGCTATTTATTAGCGAAACAGCATTCCGTTCTGATAGTAAGAGTGTTGGCGAAACAATAATCTAGATTAATTAGTATTTTGTTTGAAAGTTTAGTTAGTAGTATAGAAACCTATACTAACTTTATATATTGTTAGATGATGAATATTTAAAATCGATTCATATAAATACTTTGTCGGTTATTCACATCATTATACCATACTGGATAGGTACCTATAAAAGAATTCATTCTAAACAAACACACATTGTTATAGAGAAAGAACACGTCGCTGGCATGGCGTGACTGGAATGTTTGAATGGGTAATCAATAAATCATAAATGGCTTAAAGAAAAATTTCCACAAGCGAAAATCCAGTGCAAATCAATTGTTTTAGTATTTAGGTATTAAGCAACTAACCCCTATCATTGAATAAATGATTACATATATTAATACCGGAAATGCATTTAACTGTCAGCATAATATTATAAAAATTCATTGCACGAATTCTGGATTTCCGTTTTTGGAATTGAATACGTGAAGAAGTTTCGATGAGGACTAGTTTCAATACAAAATCCAGGGCGAAGACCCTGTAAAATCTCATCAGGATTAACATTTAAAAGTTCTCAAAATTGTAAATATGAAGAAAACTTTAAATTTAGTACTTTTAACAAGATTCAGATGGATGCCATGCAAGTTTTCCTTTTAATTGTGATGCAAATGAAGATATATAAAGTGTGTCATAGATATATCGTCCTGTATTTTTAATTATTGTGAGAATTGTTAATGACAGCCATAAAATATAGTTGTATAGGAAATAAAAAAATTGTTTTTTAATTGTTTGCGATTGCCTATCTAATCATGAGATTTGGAATTCAAATAAAGCCAAGTATTTCCGCGTTTTCATATTGGAAATTTGCCGCCAATACCAACAATACAATTTTTCAACTAACCCAATGACGTAGTTAACCGATCTGATACTGATAAAAACACACATTCGATTAACAAAAACTCTACATTCCAAACTTGGAAGGAGAATCATTCTGAGCCTAAAAGTTGAGAGAATTCAAGTTAAACCTCGATCACCTTAGCCTTAAACTTAAGAGAAAGATATTCTTTTCACATTAATAATCAACTCGTTTTTGTTATATGGGAAATGGAAAGCCGCAGGCCAAAGTGAGAGGTGAAATACCCCAAAAAAAAACTCTGCTTGTTGTCAATTTATTTTTGAATGGCAAACCTGTTTTGCGATACGACCGGGCTATTTTTAAGTTTGAATGTTGTTTTACTTTACTATCGGATCAAATGTACAAAATCAAATTATTTTCGGTTCTACACCTACACAAGCCATTCTTTCAAGAGATGCACGTGCACCATAAGAACCCATCCCTCAATACGTTCATGAATATTTACTATAGTGGAATCTTTTGACTAGGTATGAAAGAGAACTTGATGGGATCTTGAAACATTAAATAATTCAATGTACATTGGTTAAAAAAAGAAAGAATTATAGGATCGCTTTATTTGAAAACCAATCTTTTTCCTTGATGAACGCGACCATTTATGGCCGTTTGCACAATGGTTTGCACCATGCATTTTAAGAGGGGTTTAACGATAATCAACGCGTTTTTTACGGCAGGATGGCCTATACTCATAAGGCATGTGTGTAACGCCAAACAACCAGTTGTGACGTAGGCAGCATGGCGTTTCTTGCGTAGGCTGTTTTGAAAGCTGACGACTTAGTTATGACGTCGGCAATGGTTGGAAACCAATATGGCGGCGATTACCAAAAATGAGGCCGATAAGCACTCCTTAGAGAGTTGCAAACAGCCATTTTAATAGACATCGACATGTATGAAGATGAAGGCGCTTCCAAAAATCAACCAATTATTTGCACAAGTACTAAATCCCATTCACAATTAACTAGACAAACTGCATTGTTCCTAAGGCAGTTTTACAATTGCGAGTCATCTCCGGGTTGGTTTCATTTCCAGGGTAAACGTGTCCAGTTGCAATGTTTACCCTGAAGGTATGCTTAACCCGGGGGTGACTTTGCTATTGAAAAACCGGCCCTAAGGGCATCAGGGGCGCCAACTACGTGGGTGCTGTGGGGCTCGAGCACCCACGAGACGTAAACAGAGGGTGCCGAGCACCCACGAGCATAGACATAAAAACTGATAATCCTATAATGATTTCATAGATAAAAGTCAAAATGACATTAGGTTGGCAATACATACAATGTGAAATTGTCAATGCTTTCAATTTTTTTACTCTGGTTCCTGAAAAAGTGGTTACTTTTGGACCTCGGTTTCCTGAAATCTGGTTAACCAAATGTCAAAATAGTTACTGGCCATCAGATGTCGGTTCTATTGGTTTTATTTGTAATTTCTGTCAATTTTTTTTGTTTCATATTTGCGCGGTCCCCAAGGAACAGGAATTTTCAGTAACCATCTGTAAACCAATTCGGTTACTAATTGGTTAACGTTTGATTATATTCGGACCATAGCCTTATGTAAACGTTTTTGGGCGTGGCACCCGGAATTTTTTTCTACTCCGGCGGGCCGTTCACCTCCACCCCCTTCGTAAATGCCGGTGCATGAGCATCAGCACCCACGAGGTTTTTTGAAACCCGGCGCCCCTGCCTAAGGGGTTAACTTACCCTAACTCGATGTTAATTTTAACCTCGGATTAAGTGAGGGTTGAGTTTCAAATTCTCAAAGTTAATAGGTCGTCTGGTCATGGCTAATTTGATGACGCATTTAGGGTGCCTTAAGGTACGGTTTGTTAGGATAGTACGCGACGCATAACTGTCAACGTAAACGTCGTCATTGGTTCAGGTATGACGTACACCCATTTTCTGAGGCTGACGCTGACGTCAGAAAACGGTTGTACTTCATACCTGAACCAATGACGACGTTTACGTTGTCAGTTGTGCGTCGCGTACTATCCTAACAAACCGTACCTTTATGGAGATTTGCATTATGTTGAGGTACCCCAGATGACGTCGTAAAGTTATCAGGCAACCTACCTCTTTCAAATAACCTTGGTTTCAAGCATCCTCCTGCAGGTGGAGCTGACGTCAGAAAACGGTTGTACTTCATACCTGAACCAATGACGACGTTTACGTTGTCAGTTGTGCGTCGCGTACTATCCTAACAAACCGTACCTTTATGGAGATTTGCATTATGTTGAGGTACCCCAGATGACGTCGTAAAGTTATCAGGCAACCTACCTCTTTCAAATAACCTTGGTTTCAAGCATCCTCCTGCAGGTGGAGTTAACAAACCCTGGGTTAGGCGATAGTTGGCACGTTGGCAGCATTGTTCACCATGATGGAATATTTTTGATTGGTTTGTTGGTATTTTTAGAGATGTGTTTGATTATTACTTCGAAATCAATAGAGGGTACGTCAATAGAAATAGCGAGAATATCTTTATCCACAGAGAATTCCAGCTCTCTGTTAATGGGAAACAGTGGCTCTTATGGACATTTGCATGTTTAGGCATACAGATGACGTCATAAAAGTTATCAGGCCGCATCCCTCTTTTAAAACAACTTGGGTTCAAACCACAAAAACCAAGATTCAATATGGCGGCAATGATTTGTGAAAGATTGAACTTTTGGCGAATTATCTCGGGCCTTTTTTGGTATTCTAAGAAATTGTAGAAATCTTCACCTTTATCACGTAGGCCCGGTTTATTTATCTTCAGATAAACTTGCTGGTAACTATCTACTAGATAAAACTGCCCTTCCAAAATGCTATTGGTCGGGGTCGACGGATAACTGGCAGACCAATAGTTCTTTTCACGTGGCTCCGGTTTAACTAACCGGGTTACAAAACGGTTAGAGAAATGACAAACCCTTTTCAAACCCGGTTACAAAGTGACGTGATGGATACCTACCACTCGAATTTGAACGGTATGTTGCGGTTTGTTGAACCGGAGCCACGTGAAAAGGGTTCATGGGATTGGAATTACCAATAATTACAGACAGATTGCGTTTTCATCCGTCAGATTGTATACCTGTACACAGTTTATCTGAAGGTGAATAAACCGCAAGGCTATCACACACTACTACAGGATTGCTAATAGGCCTCAATATTTGGCATCAAGGGTTAGGTGGAAGAATACCAAGGATGATACACACTACTACTACAGGATGGCTTATCCTCATAAGGCCTGTGTGTAACAAATCCCCCCCTTCCCCTCCACGCCAAACAACCAGTTGTGACGTAAGCAGTATGGCGTTTCTCGCCTTGACGTAGGCTATTTAAACAGCTGACGTCGACAATGGTTGATATAAGTTGAAAACCAATATGGCGGTGATTATCGAAAACGTGGCCAATAAGCACTCCTTGGAGTGTGTATTCTCCTTGGAAGAATACAGGGTTAGGTAAAAGAACAGATGCCGATTTTTCCCAAAAATCGGTAAACTGAATTTCGCCCTTTTTTTTATGTATATTTTTGTAATTACTTATACTTTATTTTGAAAATAAAAGACCTTCATCTGCAAGCGTTTGGTTATAACGTTTTTACATAACCATTTTTCTAGTATTTGAGTTATGTCATGAGACTCATAACACAACTAGTGGTGTTATGGACTAGGTTATGAATTTATAACACAACTAGTGGTGTTATAGACTAGGTTATGAATCCATAACACAACTATTTTTGGTGATTTGACAAATGTCAACGTTAAACCTGTGAAGGTAAAATGAAGATAGACAACTACTAATAAAGGAAAATAATTGAAAAATCATCCTCGTCGTTCTAATTTTGCACACTCGTTATTGTAATCATGTTCATAAAC